CCCCAAAACCCCAAAACCCCAAAACCCCAAAACCCCTTTTAAAATAATCTAGTTGTTAATTTTCATAAATATTGGGAAGAAAATGCCAATTTCTAATAAATTCATATACTCACCAAAGAAGAGAAGCATAAATTCAACGCAGAAAATTCATTCAAGATCGGTTCTCAAGACGCCAAATTTGAAGCCTGAGTAACTATTATTCATTTTTATGATTTTTAGTAAGCATTTAAAGAGTTTTGCTTCTCCAAACAGCCGTGGAATGGAAGAAGGCTTTTCTTCCACCAGATATGGTACAGAAGCATCTAAAAGATATCACTCAGAATCTAAAAGAAATGCTCATGATGAGATATCTCAAAATTGACGAAAATAATTTGAGTTCAAACTTCAGGAATTATAAACAGAAAAGTTCATCAGAATTAGGTAAAGCTAATCCAGGAAGTCAGACAAAAATTGATCCACCTTTTATCGAGGAAAGGTTAAATCACATGTATTCTCAGCCACTGACTTGTTACGACAATGGCAATGGAATTGCTAGCCCTTACAAAGATGGTGCCAAAAACTTGAGATATTCCTCCCCAAACCAAGTCTCCAATATCGTCTTCTATGATCAAACCAACAATTTGAGTCTGAAGAAAAGTGAGATGTATGTAACAACCTCTCAAAGAGAGTATTCATCTCCAAGGAAGAAATTAGCTGTTACGAAAAGCCAGACTATAAACCCCAGTAAAGAGTCTTGATTCTTCAATCCTTCAACTGTGATGATCTCAAAACATAAAAAATATTCTGCAGCTAAATCGTCTAGCAAGAAGACTAAAATCCAAGCAGTACAATCAGAGATTACTGCACAGAAGCCTCCCATTAGTCGACGCAAGAAAAAGTGTAAAGCAAGGAAAGAATCAAGGAATAGAAGCAGCTCTAAACCCAAGAGTCAGATGGGAAAGTATACTGGAAGAGCAGATACTATTGCAAAGAAGAGACTGGTAGGGTTTAAAGAAGATGATTCTACTTTGAGGTAAGTTATGAAAGAAACTTTAAAAACTAAAGAAGCTTGAACTCTTGGCATTTAGCGTAATCTAGTCGTAATTTTTGTACTTTGAGTTTCTTCAGTTTGTATCGACATGATTTCTACACTTGTGATTAAAGAGTAAACTTTTTCATGAAGTTTTCATATGACCAGATTAAAATCAAATTATGAAATCAGTTGTAAAAAGAATTCAGATATTATAGTCGCTTAAAATGAAACTTTTAATTATTTCTTATCATCTTCTCGCTACAACAATCTTCTAACCTCCTATTCTTAGCTATCGCTCGTATAAATCCAGTCATCTCTCTTCTGCCACCAAAAAGCATCATTATAATCCCTCCTCTTCCCATTCAAAAACACACAGACCTCCAACGCACCCTCAAGCTGCTCTATCTCCTTCCAAAACTCTTCGGTTCGAGTACCCTTCTATCAACTCCCAAAAACGGACCCATCACTTGCTCAACCAAGTGAGAGGCTGGAACACAATCGACAACCGACTCTCAGCCAACCAAAAGAAAGTCATGCAGAAACCAGACCATTTCGTAGATTTGTTTACTGGCGATAAAGCTACTAAAAGACTGGTAACCCACCTTCAAACCTCTATCCACGTTCCCCTCTACCCCTCTACTTCTTCTCACTTCCCTCCATAGCCCAAAAACCCCACCCAAAACTCCCTCCACCCCTCTTCTTCCCCACCCCTTGCTGCCCAGTTCCACCCAAATTATGCCTACAGTCCTCACAAAGAGTTCCTACAGTCCCAATTTCTTCGTAAATTCCTTCCATGACCTTATAGATAGGAGCAAAGTGTTTACAAACGGAGTCTCCTTGCCCATTGCTGAAAGAAGGTAATGAGGTTAGGGTTACAGAGGAGAAGTTTAGGGAAGTTTGGGGTAGGAAAGGTGAAAGTAAAGCACAAGTCCAGACAATGATGGATAAGGCACTGGTGAAGCAGATGGAAGAGAAGAGACAGCAGAAAGATCAAGAGGTAGTACAGAGGTATCAGCAGGAGATAAGAGAGAATCAGAGGATGAAAATGCAAATCTGAAGGGAAGAAGAAGAGAAAATACATATGAAAGCACAGCAAAGACAAGAGTTAAGGCAGGAAATGGAGAGAGTTTTAGAGATGAAAAGAATGCAGAAGTTAAAGCAGCAGTAAAATGAATAATAAAATAACACACAAATACATCAATGGGCTTCGTTGATACATATCTGTGGCACTTAGAACAAGATCCTCTATCTGTAAAGATAGTGTCTGCCTTTATTCAGATGGCTTTAGCTGATTTTATCTGACAACAAATTAATAATGCATTCAAACCTGTCAGGATCTTCTCATTAGATCTCCAAAGGTGGCTAACTATGTGTATTTGGAGCGCATGACTTCAGACACCAATTCAGCATTGGTACTATGTCACTTTTCTGAATGAAAGCAATGGGGTACCTATTAACGTAGCTATTGACCAGATAATTTGGACTCCCATTATTAACGGGTTATTTTTGTACTACAATGGATGAATGAATGGAAAAGATGCACTTAGAGCTCTGAAGTATGTGAAAAACAACCTCCTAAATCTCTACAAATCATCTTGCTGAGTATGGCCAATAGTTCTGTATATCCAATTGAACTTCTTTACCCTCCATACTGGATTTATCTTCAACCTGTTTGTTGGACTCTTTTGGTCTATTGTGTTGAGTTTCCTTCAGAATTCATACCAACAGAAAGCAAGTAAACTTGATGTACAAAAGCAAGGTTAAAGTTAAATTTTCCAAAAGGAAAATTTCAACAATGTTTGTTCTACAAGTGAAAATATTTCAACAATGTTATTCTTATAAGGGGTTTTGGGGTTTTGGGGTTTTGGGGTTTTGGGGTTTTGGGG